AGACGACCCTTCTCGGGACACCAAAGGGGAGGCGACGCAAGGCCCCCGCCTGGACCTTAAGGCCTACCAAGGAGGGAGACCCTCCCCTAAGGAGCCGACACTCCTCAAAGATGTGGCAGCAGCCGCGGTCGCCTTGGGCGCGACTCTCGAGGACGGGCAAGAGGTTATCGTCGATGCTGACACGTGGCAGGTAGCAGTGCCGGAGGCCCCCGAGTTCGAGGCAGACGTAGACTTCGGGCGGTCGACCTCCGAGTCGGGCTCAGAGGAGGCCACCGCCAATGTGGCCCTAGAGCCTGCAGACGAGGCCGCTGAGGTGGCGCACACCTACAGCGGCGAATGGTCGACGCCGGACGGCCTCAAGTGCCTGTTGTGCAACGCCTGGATAGACGGGGGTCACCTCATGACCCCTATCCACAACCGGCGCATGCGATGGCACCTGAAAGAGCGCGGCAGAACGCTGCGGCGCTGTCGACACAGCTCAAGGACCTCACGCTGGAAACTCCAGCGAAGAAGCAGCGGCAGCAGAGCGCCCCGCCTGCGGCGGCAGAGCCGAGCTCAACAAGGGCAGGGGACAGTGGCGCGACTTCGGGAAGACCTCCTGCTGCTCAGTCCTCGACCCCAGCCCCAGCCGCAGAAGCGCGCACCGAAGGAGCTGCCGTAGGGAAGGGAGCGTCCCACGGGATCCCTCACTCCCTTCCTCCAGCGAGGTCCAAAGCTCCTCCAGAGCCGGAAACCGAGGAACGAGGTCGAGAACCTTCGCGGTCTAAGGCCCCCCCTCCAGGGATCCATCCTCCCCGCGACACTCAGGCACGGCCCAGGAGCCCTAGCGTCCCCGAACCAGCCGGACCGCCGAGGAACCGAGATCGACCGCGCACACCGAGGGGAGCGCAGGCTCAGGCAGTGGTTGGAAGAGCCAAACCCCCTTCCCCACAGGTTTGGGGGAGGGGGGGCTAGGCGCAGCCCCGCCAAGGGCCGGATCTGCGCGCGGATCAACAGAGAGCCTGCCAGCGACGGGCAACCAGGAGCGTCAAGGAGAAGCCGAAAGGGGCACCGAGGACCGTTTCGGTCGCGGTGCCCCCGAAGCCGTCCCTCCGGATGGCTCGGGTGCGCCCAGCGATCGGGCACCATCAGCGACGGGCAACCAGGAGCGTCAAGGAGAAGCCGAAAGGGGCACCGAGGACCGTTTCGGTCCCGGTGCCCCCGAAGCCGTCCCTCCGGATAGCTCGGGTGCGCCCAGCGAGCGGGCACCGTCTTTCGAGGAACAAATGGCAGCGCTCGACGAGGAGGAAAGGATCCTCCTGCTTGAAGCAGGAGGTGGCCTCCCACCAAGGCGCAGCTTCTCCTTGACCTGGAACGCTTAGCGACCCAGCGTGGGGACGCCTCTCGAGAAGTCAAAGGACTCTTGGAAGAAAAGGTGCGTAACCTTAAAGCCTTGGAGACGTCGGATGCCGCATACCTCAAGGAGCTCGACAGTCAGGGCGAGGCGATGCGAGAGTTGGAAAGACAGAACCCTGTCAGACCTTCTCTCGCCTCAAAACCCCTCAGCTCCGATCGCCTCACGGCAGCTATCAAGGCCGGCACTCCCATCTGGGTCGCGCGAAAGCAGGAAAAGGGGAGAATCCGCGCTCAAGAACACAGGGCCCGCATCGAGGCGGAGGCGGCCAGGGAGAGGGCGGAGCGCCCGCCAGGGGCAGAACCCACGCCGACAGGCGAAGCGCTGGATGAGAGAATGAAGGAGGCAGCTCGCCTTGAGTTGCGGGAGTTTCGTGCCCTTCTTGCGCAGGAAGGCACGCGCCAGGCGAAGCGTCCCCCGGACTCCACTCGCCGGCGAAAGCTCAAAAAGAAGCAACGAAAGGAGAGGCTCCGCGAGAAGGCCCGCAACGATGATGCGGATCGAGACACCAACCACGCAATCGCGCATGCCCGGGACCGGACGAGGAACTCAGAGCAGACACTCCCGAGGTCCGAGGGCCGTTTCGGCCCCGGACGCTCGGAGGGGGGAGCTCTTACTCCTTTTACCGGGGGAAGCGCGCGAGGCGTGGCGGGGCTAGGAGAAAGCGGAAGAGCCGAGGCCTACCTCTGGGAGACGGGCCTCTTCGAGGGCTTCCTTCTGGGCGTCGTGGCCTGCCTTTGGGCCCAGTTCTGCTGGCGTCGCGCCAGAGGTTGCTGTCGGAGGCGCGAGCGTATGGACAACAGTAACAATGCCCCGCGCACACCAAGGCAAGAGGCAGCCTTCTCTCCTAAGGCTCCGCCACCTCCCCTCAGGATGGTAGCAGACCAAGCCGCCTCGTCTAGCCAAGCGAGCGGCACCGCAAAGGCACCTCCCATGCCTCCACCACTGCCCCAAGGTGGAGCCGGTAGAACCCCGCCCCCACCACCACAGGCGGGAGCTATGGGGCAGCTGGCCAGGAGGAGGATCGGAAACACGACGATCTGCTGCACACCGCGCGGAACCTCGTACCATAGGCCCTCTTGCCCACACGTTTCCGGGCATGAGACCTATGTTCTCCACCCCTGTCCGGCGTGTGCCCCTACGACGTTCATCCCCGTCCCGGAAGCCCGGGATAGGAGGAAACCATATGGGGGCAAGGTGGAAGTGAAGTTCCTTCGCGATGAAGCAGTGTTTCACGCTCCAAGCTGCAACTTGGTTCGACCGCTTCACAAAGCGGCGCAACCATGTCGCGATTGTGGACCCGAGGCGCGCTGGGGGTACCTGGCCGACCTCGGGCCTCGCAACCACGATAATGCCACTCGAGACACTAATCACGCCTATGCGCATCTCATGCTCATAGGCGTGACCTTCTTCCTCCTGGGACTCCTGGGAAGCTGCCTTTGGGGGCAGCCGGGCTTCCCGGGAGTCACTCATAAAGCACCGGAGCAAGGAGGGTCCGAGGAATGTTTCATTCCCGGACCTCTCCTTACTCAGTGCGAGAATGAGCGTGAGGATGAGGCTCGATGTGGGGCTAAGGCGCAGCGCAGGGTCACCTTCCAAAAGATGGAAGAAGAACCCTCCTACGAGGAACTGGCCGGTCCGGTCAAGAACAAGAAGGAACCACCTTTCCTCGGAGGGCCCTCTTCCGCGAAAAGGCTGTACGGCTCCAAGCCTCCCCAGCTGGCTCTACCTTTGGCCACGCGTGAGGCCTTTGAGGCAGAAGCTCTCCGAGTCGCCATGGACCGCCTTACCACCACCACACAGAAGGCCTACCAAGGGCAGTTAAAGTGGTGGCGCCTCTTTTGCCTCCGCAGAGGCATCCCCTGGTTGCTCAGCGGCAGCGAACCCAGCGAGGAGGAGACTCACCTGCTGGACTTCCTCCTCCACACGGCCATCAACGGGGCGAGAGCACCAGGAACCCTTAAAATGAGGCTGGCGGCCATCAAATCGGCTCACGTCTCCCTCGGGCTTAAAGACCCACTGGAGGGGAAACCGCGACTGCTTCTTGTCCTCGCGGGGTTCAAGAAGAGGTATGCAACGCCAACTCGGAGGCTACCGGTGACTCCCACGATGCTTGCGTACCTCTTCACCCAACTTTGGGAAAATGCCCCGCACGAAGCACCCGGTCTTTGGCTCGCGCTGTGCCTGGGTTACTTCTTCCTCCTGAGGGCCTCCGAGTTCCTCCCTGTCCCTTACCTTCATGACTCCAGACACCTTAAGGGCACAGATTTGAGACTGAGGAAGGGTGGACAGGAGTGCGATCTAAAGGATCTTCACTCTGCAGACGAGGTCGTGATCACCCTTCGGGGGAGTAAGACGGACAAGTTCAATCGTGGGACTACTCGAAATCATTTTCGAGGAGTCCCACCACTGTGTCCCGTGGATGCAGCGATCCGCTTCTTCTCGACCTTCCCAGCACGCCATGGCAATGGAGAAGAATCCGGTGAGCCTCTCCTTAGAGGAGTCACCCGCGAATGCCTCCAGATGCTCATCGCTAAGGCAGCAGAACACCAAGGCATGCAGGGAGCGACAGGAGCTCATTCCCTGAGATTTGGCGGCGCGTCCGCCATCTGGGCGGCTTATCAAAACTCGGCCCAGTTGCAGCGTTTCGGGCGGTGGGCGAGTGACGTGTATCACGGCTATATTTGGGATGCCCGTGCGTCGTCCAAAGGGGTAGCCAAGGCAATGGCCGAGGTGGACCTCATACCCCCTTGAAGAGAACCCGAGGACCGTTTCGGTCCCGGGCATCTCAACGAGGACCTTTCTGATATTTGGGCAAAGGGAAACCTACGCTTCCTTCTCTCCTTCTGAGGCTTTGAGCCGAGGACCGCTTCGGTCCCGGCTCCGTTGGTATGGAGGGGGGTGAGCCCCAATTCGGGGCAAAGCACCTTTCAAGTGCACTGCGCGCAAAAGAAGGGTTTGCACGCGTGCCGAGAGCTGTGCAGTGTGAGTGTAGAGTGAAACTCGGTTAGTACAGCGTAGTGTGCGTAGGGTTTCACCTCTGTCTCACCGCACGTTTAGGCTCAAGGTAGCTTAGTTTTTTAGGTAGCCCGCCCGCCCATCCCCCTGAGCCCCAATTCGGGGCAAAGCACCTTTCAAGTGCACTGCGCGCAAAAGAAGGGTTTGCACGCGTGCCGAGAGCTGTGCAGTGTGAGTGTAGAGTGAAACCCATCATCATCAGCATCATCAGCGTGGAGTTCGGTTGGCTTTGCGGCACGATGCGCTTCTTCGTGCCACTCGAGGGAGGAGCTGCAAGCGTTTGACAGCGTGCCAACTACCCGGCCCGGTCTCCTGAACAGCAAATTTGCTGCGAAGTTAATTGGTTCATAAATCCCCCCTATGCGTTGAATGGGTGACACGCTGCCTTTCGTTCACGATGGTGCAGAATTGTAATACATTGACGTCGCATTCCAGTTGTGTGATGTATGCGGGCACATGAATCATTAGTGATTAATGTTCCAATGCTCGCGATTGTCATCTGCGCTGCTCCTCTTCTTGGCTGAAGGTGGTTTCAGTATCTTTGTTGTAACGAAGCAAAGCCGGCCGGTTGCTCGGCCAGGCCAGTCACATGTCTGCCATTCGCAAGTCCACGATCTGGCTTGCTTGGCTATTCTACATCGGTTCAGTCGTCCCTTGGCAAAACATCGCGACATGTTGGAGTTTTGTTTTTGCCATTTCCACATCTCATGGCCTGACTGCTGAAAGTGCAGAGTCCAAGACTCAGAGGTCGGTGCGTCCTACAAGTTGTCAACGATCCCGGTCAACCCGACTGGCAACGAATCGGAGGGGGACCACAATGTCAGTGAGCTTCTTGCCAAGGAACTGGTGGGTGAGATGAAGGACTGCCCTTAGGTCCAATATCCTGTTCACCAAATTCCGGTTGGCTGCCCAGCCCTCCGACCTTGATGTTTCGTTTTGAGGACTTTGACGGCATGCCCGATCCGAAGGAGAAGGGCGAGCAAGGCGAGAGCGCGGGTGAGCTGGGCAAGAGCTTGGAGTTCTTGATGCTCAAGGTCGCCCAGCTTGAGACCCTGGCGGAGCTGCAGCAGACCGAGCTCGGGATGCATCGTGCGCTGATTGAGAAGCTGCTAAAGAAGGTTGATCCTGATGAAGCAGAGATCTCACTGGTGCAGAAGCAGAAGAGTTCCGAGCAGAGCGTGCAGGAAGCCCATGACGTGCTGAAGAGGGTGGTCCAGAAGCACGCTCACCAGCGGAAGCACGGGGAGTACCATCCGGAGGCCAATAAGCAGAAGCCGGGCCCACCTGCAGATGAAGAGGAGGAGCTGCAGGAAGTCGAGGAGGCCGTGAGCGATCCCGGACAACAGCGGGCCTTGCTCCAAAAGCGCGAGAGCTTGATTCCCTTCGTTCCAACACCAGGCCTACGGCGCCGAATCGAGCACAAGATCGAGAGAGGAGTCAAGTACGTGCACCAGGGCGTCGAGCATGCCGTCAAAACGTGGGGGAGCTCAAAAGACGGCTGAAATCTTCCCCTACTTACCCTACTTAGGCTCCAAACCCATCGAAAATCCCCTAAATCCTGTTAATAGCCGAACCCGACTTCTTAAACTCTTAAAGCCTATGATGCCTGCACCCTGTAGGGTGGACGGTACCGGACTCACCGGCGGCGCCCTGACCGAGGCCTACAATGCCGCCAAGACAGCAGGGAAAGGCACCTGGGCTTTGAGGAGGGAAGGCTACCATACAAGAGTTCAGAGGTTTCATAAGCTTTCTGCAGGGTTTTGCAGGGTTCAGGAGGAAGAGACTTGTTCTCGTTGCCATCGCACGGAGATGTGTAAAAGGCAACACGCTTTCCTTGTTCTGGTATCTCAAGCCAAAATTCCTCGACGATCCAGGCATCGAGTTCGTGGCGAACACTGCTATTAGCACCGTGGAGATGGCCGTGTCGATCCTAACAGGAGGCGGCATGAGGGCTTACTGTTTCCAGGGCGCAGGGCTAGTCGTGGCTTAAGCTGTTGAGGTTTCAAAACCCCAAACCCCTGAACCCTGAACCCTAAACCCAAAATCCTAAGCGCTACATCCTAAACCCCTCAATCTTAAATCCTATCCACCAAATCCTACACCCTAAATCCTAAACCCCTAAATCCTAACCCGCCAAACTCCAATAGACTCTAAACTTTAATTCTGGGGTTCCGCGACATGGGGCCCTGGCCATCCCTGATCCTCCCGAGGCTTCAGCGACTGGAGCGCAAGTTGCACCAATAATCTTCCAACTGTTGGCATGAATGGCGGCGAGCTGTATGTCGACTTTGGGCACAACTCCTGCTCCATATCCCTCATGGGTCAAAGAGTCACGCTTTTCGATTGGAATTGGGGGAGGAAAGCAGTAAATCTCAACAAAATCGTCGAGCAGATCCCTCCTCTGAGCTACCTGACCCGCATGTCCGACATCCTCACTGAGGCACAGGGCGTGAAGGGTTGGGGTCCCCCCTTTGAGGTGCCAGGGTTGGGGTTGCCGTGCGTCATGAGGTCATCGAGGTCTTTGCCAACGTAGCCGGGACGGTTGTGCAGAAGGCGATGGAGAAAAGCACCTCCTTGGTGCAAACGGCTGCTACATCCAAGTTTCCTGCTGCTGGAGAGCCGCGCATGCTGCACCACAAAGGCAGCAACCTTATCATCGAGTCGCACTCGCAGCATGTGCCAGCTCGTGGTGACAGGCCTCCTCAAGAGATGGCTGCTATGCAAACAGATGCCCGACAGTCGCAGGCTGGCGACGACCCCGATGGTGCCATCACTTTCGGCATGGGCAAGAGCGATGACGTGCACGCCACGAAGCTCATCACCCAGTTCAATGGCAGGGAGACCGACACCAGCTCTTGCTTGGCTTTTGCACCCAAGAACCGGAGGGGCGGTGGAGTAAGCAAAGAAGACTGGCAGGTTGGCAACCAGAACGATTTCCTCCAGCTTGAGCCTTGGGCCGTCCCCTGTGACAACACTTGGATGAAAGACAACTGGAACAGGTGGCAGGGCTACACGTTCTACACTCAGCCGCAGGCCATCGAGAAGTGCGTCACCGTGACCTTCAGTCTGGGAATGCAGCCTGTCGTGGCCTTCGTCGGCGGCTTGCAATTCGAGATCTTGCCGAAGCCGCTCTTCGAGCTGGGCACGACGGTCTGCTGGCCGAACCAACAACCGGGCGGTGTTGACTTGAGCTTGTTACGCTCCGAGGTGAAGTCTGCGGGCATCCTGCTCTTCAGCCGCACCTTGCGCCTGACCAAGCGTTTCGGGGGTGGCACTGACTTCGTTTCTTCCAACTACAAAGGTGGCTATTCGACCTGGCGGACCAATGTCGGCATCGCCAGCGGAGAGACCTCGGTGCCGAAGGACCAACTCCGGCGCACCTCCTTCCTGGAGACTAACCAGAGCCACGGGCAAGAGTCCGAGGAGGAGGAGGTGGCCGAAGAGGCCGAAGAAGAGGCCGAGATGCAGTGGAGGACGGACTCGGAGGACCTGTACCTGGCGTCCGTGGACTACGGCGTGAATTTGAACACCTCTGTCAACAAGACCTTCGAGGCTTTCGGCGAGGAGGCTGCAATGCACATGGGCACCGAGAGGGTGGGGAGGGATGTCTTCAAGCTTTTCAGCTTCAAGAACCCGGGATTGGTGAACTTCAAGATCGAAGGTCTCATGAACGGCAACATCCTGGAGATGGGCATGGAGATGGGCTTCGGCCCCTACAGCAGCCCTTCGAGGAGGATTCCTTTGGTGAACATCGCCCATCAGTTCTCCCTGATCCTCGCGGGCATGCCCTTCGTCTCGAGTCGAAGCAAGCTCAAGGCCATCGCCTCCCTCAACGACTTCTCCAGCAAGGACATGGGCAAAACTCGTGGCCTGCCCATGAAGCCGGGTTCCATCATTGCATTGTACAGCCCCCACTGCCGGCGCTTTATGAAAATGAGCGGCGCAAGACTAGAGGTCACGACTGAAATGAACGGCCACGGTGTCCCGGATCATTGGACTTGGGAACGCTTCACGGTCGTGGACGCCGGGAACGGGGAGATCGCACTTCACAGTGCAATTCACAACCGCTTCGTGGGCACTGGTGGGATCAGCCCACATCGAAATGTCGGCGACTTGCCCCACGACTGGTCTTCAGAGCGCTTCACGGTCGTGGAGGTCGGAAATGGCGAGATGGCCTTCTACAACAGGCACCACAACAGGTTCCTGCAAATGGCGGCCCACCACGTGGGACACAGTGGCCATCCACCCAGCCCTCCAAAACTACCATCCGGCTGGGGCTGGGAGCGCTTCCGTGTCGTGGCAGCGGAGCGGGTCTTGCTTCCTGGCACCACCATCGCCCTGCACAGCCAGCTCCACAATCGCTTCGCGAAGATGCAGGGGGGGAGCATGGAGCGAAGTCCCGAGAAATCGGCAATGGAGATTCCCGATTGGTGGAGCTGGGAACGGTTCACCGTAGTGGATGCGGGACATGGCCAGATTGCCTTGCACAATGCCGTCCACAATCGCTTCGTAGGAGTGGGTGCAGCCAGTCCTCACAGGTTGGTGGATCAGCTTCCGGCAGGCTGGGCCTCCGAGAAGTGGGAGGTCTGGCCAGCTGGGAACGGCCAAATCGTCCTTTACAACAGACACCACAACCGGATGCTTCGAATGTCAGATCACACGATGGACGCCAGTGGCCACATGGATCCACATCACTTGCCAGACGGATGGACTTGGGAACGTTTCCAGGTGGTCCACGTGAAGCCATATCTTCAGCCCGGTACCACGGTGGCCCTTCGTTGTCCGCATCACGGCCGCTACCTTCTCATGTATCCTGGCGCTCCACAGGCCCTTCTGCTGGAGAAGGAGAACCACACTCAGAGCCACACTCAGAACAGCACATTCCCTTTCGGAGGACTCGGAGGACTCGGAGGATTCGGAGGCATGTTTGGCGGAGGTATATCTTCTTTCGATCCCTTCGGAGAAATCAAGAGGGCTGCAGAGGCAGAGGCTCGGAGGCAACAAGAAGAGGCCGAGGAAAGGGCCCGTCAACTCGCCCTCAGAGGCACCATCGGCCGCAGCGCACCCCGGGGCGTTGAGAATTTCCCAGATTCCTGGACCTACGAGCGCTTCACGGTTATTGATGCCGGCAACGGGCAGGTGGCCTTCCACAACAGCCTCCACAACAGATACCTGAAGATGGACGGCCCCCGAGTGCTAGTCAGCTCCCCCATGGCTCCCGATGCTTACCCCTCCGGGTGGACTTGGGAACGCTTCACAGTGATTCCTGCTGGTCACGGTCAGTTTGTGTTCCACAACTCTGCGCACAACCGCATGGTCAGGATGACGACTGACAAGGCAGACTCCAGTAGCCACATGAACCCGCAGGACCTGCCAGGCGGTTGGACATGGGAGCGTTTCCAGATTGTGCCCGTAAGGCCTTACTTGCAACCCGGCACCGTGGTGGCTCTGCACTGTGGCATACACAATCGCTATGTCTCCATGAATGGGGCTGAACTGCAGCGGAGTGAGGTGAGGAACCTCAACGACTTACCTTCCAATTGGGTCTGGGAGCGATTCACCGTGGTGGACGCCGGCAATGGTCAAGTCGCCTTCCACAACGCTGCCCACAACCGCTTCATTCAAATGAGGGGTGCAGCGCTGGGAACCACTGGTCCCCGCGGTGCGTCTGATTTCCAGAGCGGATGGACATGGGAGCGCTTCACGGTTGTGCCTGCCGATCACGGCCAGTTTGTGTTCCACAACACCCATCACAACCGCATGATTCGCATGTCCTCCCACAACATGGACAGCAGCAGCCACGTGGCGATTCAGGACCTGCCATCCGGTTGGACATGGGAGCGCTTTCGCATCGTACCGCTTTCCGAATCCAGTGAGAGAGCAGCCAACATCCGTGCGACCTTTGACTGAGCTGAGCGAACCGTCATACTCATAGTCGGCTGCATCAAGATCGATTTCAAAACAAATGGCAAAAAGCGCATAGCTGGAGTCTGAGGTTGTTGCAGATACCTACATTCGGTTTTGTTCATGCCATTCTCTCCCTCTAACTGACTGCACATCAACAGGAAATCTGTCAGCTATTCCTGCGTTTCCCTAATTCTGTCTAGTTGCTTATCCGCATCCATCAACCTATTGCTCGCCTCGCTGCATGTCTCTTGCTGGCCTGACTTCCTGTCTCTCGCTCTCGCTCTGCCTATTTGCTTGGTTTTGCTTTCTCTGTTGTTGTTCATGACTGTGCAATCATTGTTAGTGTAGTTGTTGTTTTTCTTTTTATCTCTCTCTCTCTCTCACTCTGTCTCTCTCTTTCTGCGTCTTTAAATCGCATTTCCGTTCGTTCTACAGCTGCAAAACATGTGGGACATGCAATTTTGTGGCAGGTTATCTGGTCGGGTCGTGCGTGCATTCAGCACTTTATCTGCATCGTCGGCTCAACTTGGAGCGCTTTGTTTGCATGTCACTGGGGCCCTTTGCTGGCCAGGTGCCAGCCTCGATGTCAAACATTGGCTTTTCGTCAGTGGCAAGTGTCGCGTGTCTGCAGAGACTCTGTGCATTTGGCCGAGGTGTGACAAACAGAGAGATGGCCGTGATCTCAGCTTGCTAAGCTCTAAACCCTGCTCTGAACCCAAGGTCCTGCGCCCTAAACCCACCAAAGCCCGATCCGATCCCTACAGAGACACAGTGAGAGCGTTGCCTTCAACTTGATGTGAGGAGAGACCCCGCGGCCCACAGTTGGGAGAGATGGGCGAGGCTTGGGGCTTTGGGGCTGAAGGGTTTAGGGTTTACGGGGTTTAGGGGTTAGGGGTTAGGGGTTTAGGGGTTTAGGGTTTAGGGTTTTGGGTTTAGGGTTTACGGGGTTTAGGGGTTAGGGTTTAGGGGTTTAGGGTTTACGGTTTAGGGTTCAGGGTTTACGGGGTTTAGGGGTTAGGGTTAAGGGTCTAGTTGCTTTTTGACTGTCTCCCCTGAAGGTGGGTTATTGTCCTCCTATATTCCCGGCGACACCCACCTCGCCAATGGGGCCTGCGTCTCAGCTGTCCGCCGCACGTCCATGGATGCCAAACATGCCTAAAATAGCATATGATGGTATTGACTTTTATATTCTGGCATCAGTGTAGTACATCATGGTATACTGTAATATACGATGGTATGTAGAGATGTATTCTGCCAGTACTATAGTATATCATGGTATGCGGTAGTCTATGCTGGTATACTACAATCCCTAAGCCCTTGAAAACACCCTAAGCCCTAAACCCTACCCTAAACCCTCAAAACCCTCAAAACCCTAAACCCTAAGCCCTAAACCCTAAACCCTAAACCTTAAACCCTAAACCCTAAACCCTCAACCCTGAGACCTAAACCCTAGGCCCTCAAAAGCCCTAAACCCCAAAGCTCTCAACCCTCAAAGCCCTCCGGGAGCCAGGTACAACCAAATGTTGTCGGGCTCCGGAACCTCGGGCTGCGAGCTCAGCCATCTCCTCTTTCAAGGTTTCGGGTTTTTTTGGGGGGGTTTAGGGGTTTGTAGGGGCTTTTAAAGGTTTTTCGGAGTTCTTAGGGGTTTTTAGGGGGTTTAGGGTTTGCAGGGTTTAGGGGTTTTGGGGTTCAGGCGTTAGGGGTTCAGGGGGTTTAGGGGTTTTGGGCTCTGGCATCACTTCAAGACTTGGAGGCGGATTCGTGATGAACCCGCTCACCCCCGCATTCGTACCGGAGGCAGCGGCTTTTTTTTCTCACGTCTTCTTTGGGCATTTCTCTGCATTTTGAAAAGCAGTGCCTCGCGAGGCTCAGCGTGTGCAGCACCAATGTGTGCGAGGCGAGGGCAGATGGGTTTAGTGTTTAGGGTCTTGCTTCGAGCCAGTTTCACAACTTCGGTGTCGAGTGCCAGGACATCCAACTGAGCAAAGGATGCTAATGGTCAGGGGCACAGTTCTGCTGCAATGAGCCGTTGTTCTGCAGGGCCCCCCAAAGCAACAGATTTTCCTTGCTGCGTACGACCGCGACCGCGACCACCATCATAGTACAGCTGCTTCGGAATGTTATGTGTCGAAGTATCCCTTTCGAGCAGCGTCCAGAACACGCATCGAGATGATCTTGCAACTATCGTGATGGCGAGTGACAATATTTTTGAGACGTTTATCATTTCACGCGCTTGGGACTCTGAACTCTACGAGTATGCCTTATCTGCATGATGCCTGTCCTCATTCTCATGCTCATGCCTGGCCGTCTCATCTTCATCCCCATTGTCGTCGCTATCACCATCACCATCAGCATCAGCTTCACCATCACCATCACCATCACCACCACCATCATCGTCATCATCATCGTCATCCACCATCATCATCAGCCATCGTCATCGTCATCATCATGACAATTGCCGTTGCTAGCGCCAGCGCTACCGCCATGGCCACCATCATCAAAACCTGCTTCGTTTTTGTCTTCATCCGTTCGAATTCCGAATTTCTTTCGGGAAGAACACATGCACAACAGAAATAGTAGTTGTGAGATGTTTCGAGGATGCTTGTATTTGTCACTGTCAGAATCAGACTCGGACTGCACAGACTGCCAGCATGTTCGTTCTCGTTCTGAACTTCATGGCTGTTCCGTCTGTGTGCCGAGACGCTGAGCAGACCTGGCTGTGAAGGATCCAGTGCATCTATACTGGCCAAAACTGCACCGAGGGAGTTTTTGTTCTCGATTTTAGGCCGTGTGCAGGATGAGTCTGGTGTATTGGGTTGCTCAGTGCATCGGGGTGCTGGAGTGCAGTTCATGTCTATCATCCGGGGGGTATGTTACAGTATAGTATCTTATAGCAAGTTATAGCATAGTGAGTGTAGTATATTATAGTATAGTATAGTATAGTATAATATAATAAGTTATAGTAACTTTTAGTATAGTATAGTATATCGTAGTCTATCATGCTGCTTTCGTCGTCCCCGTGTCAGCGGTGAAGTGGAGCGAGCATGCCGAGGCGACTTGCCCAAGTAACGTCCCATCTTCCATGCCGGGCTCTCAGTCCGAAGGTGTTGGACCTCAAAATTATATCTTTTTATTTAAGAACTTGTATCTAATACATTATACTATATATATATAATATGTGTGTGTATATATATATATATATATATATAGTTTTTTAATTACGTAGTATAACAGATGTCACAGCATCCTTGCTGGTTGACTGGTCACAGCTTGAGGCAAGCGCCTTTGACTGCCCAATTCGGGTATCCATGGCCACAGAGTGCACCGCAGAGTGCACCGCGGGGGCCTCGGCACAGCAGACTTTGCCTTTACTTGAGCCTCAATCCTTGAGCCGGGTCCTTGTGCTGAGGACGCACCGCCTGCAGCCTCAACAGCCATGGCTGCCCCCGCCGCAGCCGCAACCCGTGCCGGCGCCACAAGCAGTGCAGCAGCCAGTGCAACCTCAGTGGGCCCTGCTCGCTTCTACCCCAAAACAATGAACCCGAAACCCCGAAAGTCTAGACTCAGACCCCATGACCCCGAGCCGGGACCCCCATCACGTTTGAATGGCCAGGACAAGGACCGTGGCGGCGGCTGCAAAAGAGATGACGCTGGAGGCCAGGCTCTGAAAGTCATAACGACAGTGAAATTGCAATTGGTTAACAGTAAGAGCAAAGAAAACCAAAATGATGCCGAGCAATACTCATAATGAGAACAGTCATAATCTTCATCATCATCGTATCAGCAGCCAGTACAAGAAAAGCCACTACTACGACTGCTGCTGCCACGACAACGACGACCTCGACTACTACTACTCCTACTACTACTCCTACTCCTACTCCTACTCCTACTACTACTACTACAACTACTACCACTACCACTGCCACTACGACTCCCACTCCCACTGCCATTACCTCAACCGCTACCGCTACCACTACCACTACCACGGTATCACTACCGCTACCACTACCGCTGCCATTACTACTGCCACTGCCACAGCTACTGCTACTTCTGCTGCTACTGTCTCTGCTACGGCTTGCTTCTTCGACTACGACCACGACCACGACGACCACCACCAACATCACCACCACCGCCGCGACCGCCAGCAGCACCACCACCACTGCGGCGGCGGTGGCTGCGGCGGCGGCGGCGGCGACGACGACGACGACGGTGACCACGACGACGACTTCACTCATGATACTCGGGGTTACAATAACAAGATATGAAAATATTAGATAGATAACTACTTGTATCTTTTCGTTGTATTGTAACCCGAGTATTCGTATTATCAAGGTCAAGTACTCCTCATATAGCAGTCATGGAATAATAAAGAAGAAGAACAAAGATAGTCATATCAAGAAATCAATGTATTAACATCATTGATAGCAATAACAATAACAAGAACAATGAGAATACAAATTTGATACTTCTACTTGTGTAAAAATGTTCGAGTACTTGTACCAATTCCCATCGCCTGGACAGGAGAAAAAGCTTCATGCGAGCCAGGCCGCTTTTCTGGAGCGAGGACATGTAAATCGTAGACCCTAAGCCCTGGGTTTAGGGCTTTCGGGTTTTGGGATTATAGGATAAAGGGCCCCTTATATATAACGCTACAAAAAGCACCGCGTGGTCCAAGACTGCCGGACAGGTGCGCCAATCACAGGGCCGTGACTTGAATCAGGCCAGCCAGCAGGGCCTCCAGGCAGGGCGAGCCCGAAACCCTCAACCCTTCAAGAGGTTTTCATAGGAAGCCTTAGATACTCATCTGAATACGCATGCCGTATGCAGTATGTGTATATATATATATATATGTATATATATGTATATATATATATATATATATATATATATATATATATATATATATATATCATACACATACATCTACACCCATATATATATATATATATATATATATATATACACATATATATATATATATGTATGAATATGTATAGATATAGACATAGATAGAGAGATAAGAGTTCTAGTGGCCCTGATACTAACCTTGTAGAAACCCTTCTGGCCCACCAAAGTCAAACCCGTTGCCATGACAGGCCGTCGACGAGATGTTGTCCGCAGCGTTTAAGCGGGCCACGCCGGTGCTGGCGAAGCTCCCACCGGGAGTGGTTCCCGTCGAAGCTCCTGAGAAGAGCCCTTTGCCGCCAGGGCCTTGGTTCCACTCTGCCGCGGCGCTTTTTCAAGCCGATAAGAAGAGCCCGAAGCAAAAACCCTAAACCCTAAATCCTAAACCCTAAGCCCCTCTCTTCACATCTCGCCGGCCTACCGGAGGTTCGTGGAGCTGGACCGCAGCTTGCTGCAGAAGTTGGAGGAAGCGGACAGGGTCGTGCAGGCTGCCGCCGGGCCCCCAGGACTGGTGGAAAGCAAGCAAAAGCCTTTGCGATATATTATTATATATTTCATACATTTTTTAGTCTAATTGTATGTTAAGTATGATAGTATATATCATGGTAGATGTTACAGTATATATCATAGCATATGTTATAGCATCGTACATCATACGGAAGAATAGACCCGGAACCCCAAGCCCTGCTTTGGGCCGAATGCTGCTGCCCAGGCGGCGAAGAAGACAGAGAATCTTCGAAAGGAGAGGGAGGTGCCCTCAGAGGTGCTCCTTCTTAGGGTTTAGGGTTTAGGGCTCGTCGTGACCCGCTGCTTGACGGCTGCTCTTCTCGAGGTAGCGTGGACCCCAAAGCTGGCCGTAGCTCGCGGAACGACTGCAGTGCAAGGACCTGCTTCAATATATATATATATATAATAAAGTTCACGACCCTGCAAAGCAGTCAGGTGTCGCTAGGCCAGAGTTGAGTGCCTCTGGGCGACGGCCAGGAGCCAAGGGGAGCAAAGGAAAAGGAAAGAGCAAGGGAAAGGAAGGCAACGGTCCAAGCAAAGGAAAGGGCAAGGGCAAGGTCTGGACCTCAGCGCTTGACAACGGACTTCTGCTAGAAGCCACTTCTGACAAATGCCTCTGATTTTGAACAAAAACCGAGACTTGGCAAGACTATGGTGGAAAGGCGGACCTGGCTCTTATGTGATCCTCCCTCACCGAAACTTTCCCAGAAGTTGGCAGCATCGTGCAGGTGTGGAAGGTGAAGGAGGTCTCAACAGAGGAGACCTCGATCACGACGGATCACAGGCCCCTTTGCCAGTAGGGAGCCGCAAGCAGGATATACTATACTATACTATACTGTAATTGACTATAATTTACTATATTATACTATACTATACTATAATATACTTCTACTTCTCTGTTTGGGACAAAGCGTGGCAGGCCCCGGCGCTTGGGCAAGAGGGGGCCCTACACTGGTGGCTCTTAGAGGCCCGGCGGGGTGAAGTTTTGGTTTACGAAGATCACCAAAAGCCCTGCGTTTTCCGAGGCAATCGACAGAGAGAGCCCTTGGGCGCTTCATGAGAAGCTGCAGACCCAAGCCGGCCCCTGCCTCACTGCGCGGCGGGATTCAGAATTCAGGCCTGTGAGGCAAACTTCCTCGCCTGTGCATGCAGTCCGAATGTACGCAGTCCTTCCATGTCCTTCCTAATTGGGTAGACCGGCTTATGTCCAGCTTAGCTGGAGCCCACTACGACAGCTGCAGAGATGGCTTGTGGGCTCCAGCGCCAGAGAGATCTTCAGTCAGTCATGAGCCATTAGTGCTGAACCTGCCAGAAAGAGCTTTTGAGCAGAAGAGTCGTAGTAAGGGGACGTTCCGGTAGAACCCCAACAGGTACGTAGGATCCTAGCTTAAGGGCCCTTCAGTAAGAAATCCTTAAGATTAGAACACTACAGCTTTCGGCGAAGAGCTGAGATTCTCTGTTCTCTGCACGTAAATGGCCTGCCACAAAGTGCTGCTTCTTCTCCGTGCCAGCCCAGTGCAAACTGCCTGTGGGAGCGAAAAAAGCTTTGGCGAGTTAATTGACGAGGTGTAGGCTCGGGTTCTAGGGTCGCATACTGCTCTACAGGTCAAGCTTTGTTCGTCGCAGGATGTCACAGACCGCAAATCCCAGTCTTGAAACCCGAAGCCTTGTGGAACCCTCGACTAGGACTAGGTACAGACTTGGGATAGTTTGTAAATTCCCTTACTGTTTCAAAAAGAGCCCTAGTTGCATCTAATTTTGGCGACTGTTGAAATCGACACCTAGTGTAGAAGCGAATCCGCAGCTGCTGAGCTTCACAGAGGTTTGGTTTCGGGTTAAGCCCAATTCCAACTTTTCCCGCCTCAGCGGAGAGTCGGCAAGGCCGGGACATCGGGGCCCTTCAGAAATTGAAGGTTTAGGGCTCAGGGCACCCCAACCCTGAACCCTGAACCCCAAACACGAAACCCTAAACCCGAAACCCTAAACTCTAAACCCCATACCCAAATGGAGATTCGGATCGAGGTTTTCGGTCTCGGCGTTTCGAGTTGCCGGCAACAAGGAGCCACATCTTCCCGGTGCGCAGGGAGATTCGGTGTTTGGAGGCTTCGGAGGGCTTCGGCAGGGTTGAGGGTTTGAGCTTTGGGAGTCTGGGGCTTCGGGTTTGGGATTTTGGGCTCAAGGTTTATGCATTTGGGTTTAGGGTTTAAGCCTTAGGGCTTAGGGCCTTAACCTGCTTCGTCTCAGCATAAGGCACGGAAGCGTCGGTTTGAAAACTTAACCATGCGGTAGGCTCTGGCACGGCATCGGCACAAGGCCAGAGCACGACGTAACAACAACAGCTGTAGATTGGCGGCTTATCGAGTTTCCGGATCAGAAACCCCAGTGTGGAAAAAAGCAGCTCGCAGCACGCCAACCCTCACCCCACATCTTAAACCGTGAAACTGCAAACCGTAAACCAAACCCGGTTAAGATCCGGTTCTTTGGAGTGCGTACAGTCGAAACCCCAAAGCTCAAAACCGCAGCACTCCTCCATGGTAACCCCTCATATATAGCGGCCCTTACGTTAACAAGTGCATAAACTCTTATCGTAATCCTTCTATCAGCAAGTATCGTATTCTGATCTTGCAGCATCCCTGCTAGCAGCCCTAAGCCGACATTTCAAACCCAAAGACGCACCTTTGCCCCCTCACCCGTGTTGAGGTGGCGCGGAAATGGCCGAAAGCAGGTGCCTAGAGACACATGGTTTTCTTCTTCTTCTCAGGGGACCCTCGTATAGTACCCTAAATAGTAGGATCCTTATTATAAGGACCCCCAATAAGGTACCCCTAATTTCCGGAAACCGGTTTAGGGCCTGCGGTTGGGGTTTCGGGCTCTACGGGGAGTGCCCGGAGTTTTGGTTCGGAGGCATTGCTGGGCTCCTTTCATGATTCCGTCAGGTCTACTCGGAGGTTCAGTGGGAAATGTAAGTGGGGCTTTTCGTCCCCTAATATGGTTTATTCGTATAGCCCTACTTATAACTACCCTAAACCTTAAACCCTACAAAACCCTTAAAGGAACCCTAAACCACGGGGAACCTTACTTATAAATACTCATGAACCTCCAAGTGGGGATTTCAGGTTTTTGAGGGGCCGGACAGAGAGGCCCCAACCCCTCGCCCCGCCCCCCTCGGTCTCCACCTTCCACGTAGGCTGAGGTAGCTGGGCCCACACGGGTTCAGGGCGATTCGGGGCTATAGGTGTAAGTTCAAGTTTGGTGGACATCGTACGGGGCTTGGGGCCTTGAGTTTCGACCGACTGCTGCAGCTGGGAGTTTAGGAAAGGATATTTCAGGCTTTAGGGAAGGTTTTGAGGTACCTAGGGTCTCGCAGGCTGTTTAATAGTACTGAGGTTTGTTTCGGATAGTGAGACGGGTTGCACGACCAGACGGGGTGGGGCGATTGGGTGGAAGCTGCAGCTTTACCTCGCTAAGTCTCCGTCTTTCTGAAGGTGTGACACGCCTGCTTTCTTCGAGCACCTCGCGCATATTTCGGCAGAGTACGCCGCTCGGGGCAAAGAAGGTACGTGGCCACCCCTTTCTTTTGCGGGTTTGAGGTTCCGGATTTTTTGGGACCCTGTGTCACAAACATATTCTTCCATTGCGTACCTGCCCCCCCACCCCCCCCACGCCTTCTTCAGACCTGAGCCAGAAAACCCCAGAACCCTAAGCCCTAATGTAGGTAAACCCTGCATAACCCTCAAAAGTAGGATCCATATCAAGAACCCGAATAAGGAACCAAGGTTTCTTAATCAGGCTGCTACATTATACCAGAAGCCTTGAACCCTGAATTCCAAGCCCTGGTGGCACTGAAGTTTTTGAGCCGTCGTGCTTCCAGGGTTCGGGGTTCAGGTTTAGGGTGGAGGGTTTTCGGGTTTAGATGGGTTTTAGGCTTTAGGGTTTCGGGTTTTAGGGTCTTAGGGTTTAGGGTTTAAACCTGGGCTCTAAGGGCTTCAAGCTTTCAATGCTGCATGAGCTCAGCCCCGAAGCATAAACCCAAAACCCCTAAGCTTTAATCCTTGAGCCGAGAACTTCGTAAGCCTTAAACCCTCATCCCAAGTTTTAAAAAGCCCCAATCCCGAAACCCTATAGACTCCAATCCCGAAGCTCTTGTCTCAAAAATTGGCGCCAAAATTAGTAAACCCTAAACCTACACTTTAAATTCTCTCCAACAAAAGAGCCCCTGGTTCTTAGTAGGAATGGGGGAATGGATCCCTATAGTAGTCCCTAGTTGATCCCCAATTTTCGTCCCCATAACCCATGCCCCCCATTCCCTACTAAGAACCAGACAGGAGAGCGCAAGCCCTACGCCCAAACCTGTAAGGAGCGTCTGCAGCTCGAGAACAGGACAGGTTCTCCACCGAAGACCTCGGACTAGGTTTGGGGTTCCTGTTTCCCTATAAGGGGATTTAGGGTTTAGGGTTTAGGGTTGAGGGTTTAGGATTTAGGGTCTAGGGTTTAGGGTTCAGGGTACGGTATTTCGGGGTTGGGACTGCTGAGGGTTTCGGCTTCCTTACAGGGGGATTTGGGATTACTATGAGAGGCCCGACGTACAAGTGTTGCGATAACAGTTACGAAACGGGGCACGTGTTTGTTAGGGTCTAGATGTGGAGCTTATGCAGGGTTATTGCTTGTTTTGAGGTCGTAGTACACTAAACCTAAACCTTAAACCCTAAACCCCTAATTCTAACGGGTTTAAGCAACTTTGGGTAGGAAGCTCTGAAACTTTTTGAGGTTTCGGGGTTCTCGAGTTTCGGTGCAGAAGATTCAGTCATCGCCACGTCCGTGGGGCTTAAGGCTTTTCCTTAGGGACTGCAGGGATGGCAGCCAAGGTGGCAATTCTTCGGTTTAGGGATTCGGGTTTATGGTTTAGGGTTTAGGGATTAGGGATTAGGGTTTGGGGATTAGGGTTTAGGGCATAGTGGGCCTGACGAGCGTACCCCAAGACGGAACCTAACTTAGAGAACTTCCCAAGAGTAGCAAACTCCTGTAGCCCCTGAAACTGGAAATTGAGTAAACGCCCCCTACGATAAGCCGGAAATGACCCACACCCGATTAAGCCCCACATTTTCTCCGCCGGGCTCACCACCCAGACCCACAAAATCTGCAACATCTCCAAGTCCCAAAAACAAAAGCACAACCATAACGCCTTTAAGCGATCTTTCAACCCCAAAACTTTAAACATTTTAATTCCCAAACCCCTACACCTAGGCCTCGGAACTTTCTGTCTCAGGTGGAACCGCAGTGAGGGTGTAGGGCTTAGAGATTTACAGATCCTAGGGTTGGGGGGCTTGGGGATTTCAGGAGTTTGTGGGATGCAAGGATTTGTTGGTCTTCCTGAATGTCGGGGCTAGTGGTTTAGGGTTTGCGTTCTGCTTCAAGCACGCCTCAGGAGGTTACGCTGTGCGTTGCAAGAGGCCTCCAGCCACGATGTGGTCGGCTCAGCGCAGGGGGGAGCCACGAGTTCAGTCCAAAGGGGCCCCGGTCTAAACCCTTAAGTTGGAACCCCTAAACCCCAAACCCCAAACCCTAAACCCCCCAACCCCAAACCCTAAACCCTGAACCCAAAATCTCGTACACCCTGAATCCGAAACCTTCAAGAGCCCAAACTCTACTATGCCCAGCCTAACGGCTGATACGTATAGCAAACCCCAAAACGTTGGACACCGGATTGAGGACAACTAGTGCTGGGATCCCCCAGCCCTATACATTACTCTTGAGGATTGAGGCCATTGGGTTTCCAACTTTTGGGCTTCTACTGTAAGGCCCCGGCCCGAAATCCCCAGACCCGAAGATCTTCGTGCTTAACCCTCTCGGGAGGCAGGCAGCGGTTCAGGGTCTAGGTTCAGGGTGTTTTGGTTTTGGGTACGAGGTTTAGGGTGTAGGGTTTAGGGCCGGGAGGAGCCGGAGTTCTTTTGAGCAAAAACCAAGAAATCGGGATCTCGACACCGCCAAACACCCCAAGCCCTAAACCCAAATTCCTAAACTCGAAGCCGAAACTCAAACCCTGACCTACGCTGCAGCCCGCTTCAGTACAGCACACGGCTCTCTGCTGAAATCAGAAAACCCACTACCAGAAAGAGCTGTTTAGAAAAGGTTCATCCGCGTTGCACCCCAACCCTAACCCCCCAAAACCCTAAAGGCCCAAAACCCACGTTTCTGGTCGGACAGGCTCGACTTGGTTGCTTGTTCATGCAGGGGTCTCATGCCAAAGCGTTCGGCTCCTCTAAAACCCAGCATACTGGCTCATGTAGGCTTCAAGCCACAACGATTCCCCAACAGCTCTTAAGTGATCGGATTTTTTCAGCGCTCAAGAGCAAAGCTGCAGACCAACATAATCCGCAGCCTTCAGCCTTTGAAACCCTGGCACGCTTGAATCCTGAAGGTTGGGTGCTGCCCCCATACAGTAAGACTCTATAGTAGGGCTATTAGTTCCTAAGTCCGAAACTTAAACCCCAAAACCCTGAACGAGTTTCTAGCAAGGCTGAGACATGTTTTGCTTTTGAAGCTTGTATGCTTTGGCATGGGAGTTTGGGGATGATGAACCAGTATAGAACAGTCGGGCGCTAGGAGGTTGTAGGGTTTACGACAATATATATCAGATGCTCCAATCAGTATGTACTTTGACCGCAAGCTTAGTTTGGAACAGCACCGAACTCATCCCTCGTTGCCTTGAAGCTCTTCTTGGATTTAGTTGCGCCTTGTCTGTCCCACATGCAAACCCAAATTCCGAAAACTCCAGCACCTTTGACCATCGACACTAAACTAAACCCTGAACCTTGGATCCTGCACCCAAATCTGTACACTTCACAGAGCTAATGAGGTGGCGGTGCTGCCTCGTGCCTTGCAGCTGCGTCAGGAGGCTCCCTTCTTCTGGGGAGATTAGGGTCTAGGGTTTGGGGTTAAGGGTTCAGGCTTGCTGGCTACGTGGGATCGCTCTTGTAAAGAATGTACAAGCAGCCGCAGCAGCAAGCCGGCGACAAGCATCATCAGCATCAGCTTGCCTTCGCCCGAGCAAGATCAGCATCAGCCGGCCCTCGCCCGAGCATCATCAGCATCATCCGGCCTGCGTCCGGGCATCATGAGTCCGAGCATCATCAGCATCAGCCTGCAATCGCACGAGCGACATCAGCCGGCCCTCAGCATCAGCAGCAACAGCCGGCCTTCCTGAACATCATCAGCATCAGCTGCCCTCGCCCGAGCATCATCGGCATCAGCCGGGACACTCGACCGAGCATCATCAGCATCAGCCGGCCATCGTCCGAGCGTTATCATGCCAGGCATCGTCCAGCATCAGCCGGCCTTCATCTGAGTATCATCAGCCCGAACATCATTGGCATCAGCCGCCCACGCCCGAGCATCATCAGCATCAGCCGGCCCTCGCCCGAGCGTTATCATGCCAGGCATCGTCAGCTTCAGCCTGCTTTCGCTCGAGTAGCATCAGCATCAGCCGGCCCTCGCCCGAGCATCATCAGCATCAGCCGGCCTTCACCCGAGTATCATCAGCCCGAACATCATTGGCATCAGCCGCCCACGCCCGAGCATCATCAGCATCAGCCGGCCCTCGCCCGAGCGTTATCATTCCAGGCATCGTCAGCTTCAGCCTGCTATCGCTCGAGTAGGATCAGCATCAGCCGACCCTCCACCGAGCATCATCAGCATCAGCCGGCCTTCACCCGAGTATCATCAGCCCGAACATCATTGGCATCAGCCGCCCACGCCCGAGCATCATCAGCATCAGCCGGCCCTCGCCCGAGCGTTATCATTCCAGGCATCGTCAGCTTCAGCCTGCTTTCGCTCGAGTAGGATCAGCATCAGCCGCCCACGCCCGAGCATCATCAGCATCAGCCGGCCCTCGCCCGAGCGTTATCATTCCAGGCATCGTCAGCTTCAGCCTGCTTTCGCTCGAGTAGGATCAGCATCAGCCGGCCCTCGCCCGAGCATCATCAGCATCAGCCGGCCTTCATCCGAGTATCATCAGCCCGAACATCATTGGCATTAGCCGCCCACGCCCGAGCATCATCAGCATCAGCCGGCCCTCGCCCGAGCGCTATCATGCCAGGCATCGTCAGCTTCGGCCTGCTTTCGCTTGAGTAGGATAGGCATCAGCCGACCCTCGACCGAGCATCATCAGCATCAGCCGGCCTTCTTCCGAGTATCATCAGCCCGAACATCATTGGCATCAGCCGCCCACGCCCGAGCATCATCAGCATCAGCCGGCCCTCGCCCGAGCGCTATCATGCCAGGCATCGTCAGCTTCAGCCTGCTATCGCTCGAGTAGGATCAGCATCAGCCGACCCTCCACCGAGCATCATCAGCATCAGCCGGCCTTCATCCGAGTATCATCAGCCCGAACATCATCAACATCAGCCGCCCTCGCCCGAGCTTTATCACCCCGAGCATCATCAGCTTCAGCCTGCTTGCGCCCGAGCAGGATCAGCATCAGCTTCAAGGGTTACCCTAAACCCTAAACCCCGGCGCAGCGTTAGAAGCCGGTAATTTTGGCAGGGACGTTAGGATTTTGTCTTGTAGGTTTTGTGCAGTTGGGTTCCAGCGGTTCGTGGTTGTATCGTTTTGCGTGTTGGGTTTCGGATTTGTCTTGCGGAATTGGGTGGGGGCGGGGCTTGAGAGTAGGATCGTAGAGCAGGATTGTTCTGCCGTATGCCCATGGTGTCAAGGAATTGGGTTCAAGCTTTCGGGCGCCAGCAGAGAATGGTTGCGCGATTGAGTTCCTCCCAATGCAACGAGCCAGGATCTGGCCTTGGAAAAAGGGGCTTTGTGGTCAATGGGTTTAAGTCGCAGAACCGGCAGCAACCACCATAAACCACCATACAGTTCTTTTGTCAGCGTTTCATCAGGAATGCCACAGTCTGAACCGAAAGCCACAATTATTTTAGTAACTAAATTCTGCTTGTGCAGACCCGGATCACACTCGGATCTCGCCAACCTGCCACTTGGGCCCCAAGCCCCAACTCCTAACGGAATTGCAGATTTATCATAATCACGAGCATAGTGCTACATGTTGCAACATCATTGCATATGATATTGGCTCGGAGCACTGACACCTAAACTCTGTATCTTCTATTTTGAGAACACCTAAATAGGCTGCCAAACCATTTGCACCGAACCGGCGGCCCAAGTCACCTTCCCCAGGCATCCGAGCCTTTAAAACCTGCAGGCGCGCCATGGCGCTGTCGACGATATCGAGGTGATCGAGATGACCAAGGCAGGTCAGGGGCGCGCATAATCAGTAAGTGGATGAAGACACTGGAACGTAGACACACCGTTTAGTTGTACGGACTTTCATATCCGTGTATACTCAGGTAGGTAGCTAGATAGATAGATAGATAGCCACATGTATATTGAGGTAGTTATCATTACGTACCACAACCAATACATATGTATATGTGTATAAAAAGTACATACAACATATTTCTATATGTATGCCTGTATGTCTGTATGCATGTCTGCCGATATCTACATCAAAATCTCCTTCTGATGTAAATTTACCGATTGTATTAACTGTTTCATTAAATACTGTTGGTTTATTTAATGTTATACCGTTAGTATCATTTAAATTTCTAAATATACCTGATGCTGTTGGATCTATACTTCTGTTAGATTGAATACAAAAATTCTGTTCAATTGTTGCAATATGATTTAATGAAAAATTCGCGTTGGCTTGTTGATATATTCTACCTCTACTATTTATTAGAATATTGTTATTAAATGTATTATCACTACCATTAAAATTACAGTTGCCACTAAAATTAGCACTGCCACCACCTGCTACATTTAGCCGTGTTGCTCCTCCTGCTATTGCTCCAATTCCTAAATTATTACAATATACGGCACCTCCTGCTGTTGCTGTATTCAATAATAATAATGGTTGGCTATCGTTAGAAGTATTATACGCATTAATATTGAAACTATGCATTTTAATATATCCTTGTGCGTTTTTCACTGTTAAAACATTACTGGCGTCTGTTGTAGTTTTAAATACCTCACTGCCATTATTATTTGTTGAAGTTATTGTATCACCGTTGATTGTAATATTATTATCAACTTCCAAACTATCTACTTTCGTAGCTCCGCCTACTGATAAAGAATAACCGCTTTCGTTTGCTGTTCCTATCCCTACGTCTGCACTTGTCAAACTTCCTAATCTCATCCTCTTAGAATTATTAGAAGAGCTGTTATCATTGAAGATCATAATATTGCCGTCCTCTTCATTCGCATTAGTGCATCTTAAATTATTATTGACATATATCCACAGCACCGTTCCGTCTCTAATTCTCAGTGTTGGGTTTGTGTTATTGGAAATACGCCATAATGAAATACCATGAGCACTAACTGGCAAAAATACAGTATCGTTATTAATGATCATCGCTTCACTAAAAAATACCTGTTTAAAACATGTTGTTCCGTTCGTTGTATTATTGCACTCAATATAAGTATTGGTATCAGTGTCGTCATTAGTTCCGTTGATTAATCTTATAGCGCTTGTCGTCTCATTTATTGATAAGTCTAATGAAATATTTGACTTTGTAGCGTTCGTGTATCTTTCAATGCTTGTATTAGCATCTACTAATTCAATTGGATTGCTGACACCGCCACCTGCTCCTGCTATTAATGTATCTACTCCTTTATTGTAATAATTGGTTGCTAGTTGTGAGTTTGTTTGATAGTTTGCTGTTAGTGTTGCTGTTGTAGCATAAGGTGCCAATGCTGTATTATCAATCCAATTAGTAGAATCTATTTCAGTTTTATTGGCTATTCCGATTTTACTAAGCACAAAAATGAAGACCGTAAAAAGAATTATATTGCAAGGCACAAACCTGATCAAGATTGGAAGGATCATACAACTGCCGGCTTCTGGGCCAAAAATATTCTCTGGAACAAACCTACCAGTGAAGCATCCGTAAGAGATGCCAATAAAAAGTTCCCAAACTTAAACATAAAAATGAAATACTTATGAACATATTTTGATAATTATTTCGCACTGCAGTTACAAAGCTTACACCAAGCTTCGCAGTTGTCGCTTTCGTGCGCGATGCTGTTATCTAATCTCTGGGCTGTCATATTACTTGTTAAGAAGCCGTTCTTAAATTCAAATTCAACGTTACACCCGCAGTTGTTACAATGACTATACACTCGCTTCATAAACCAACTCGGATCAACATACTTACTTTCGTGTATTTCTCTATTCGCTTTCTGATCTTGTAATTTGTAGGCATTTATCTTGTTAAGCCAATATTTATGTAAGGTTGTTTCTTTCAGTCCATTCTCTTCTTCGGCACTCTCATAGAACAAGACATTATTAAAATCGGTGCTTCTGGTCAAGGCACACCACAGCCACTCACGAGTAACCAAATGCGACTTCTCCCACTCGTGTATAACGATCTTACCGTCAATTGAAGCCCCTTGCGCGGAATGGCAAGTGGTGCAGTAGTCATATCTGAAATGTTTATCCAAGGTGGCTATGCCCGTTATATACTGCTGTTTGGACTTGACATTCTCTAATTTAATTATGTTCTTGGATATGCTTACGATCCTAAACCTGTAATTAACATTGAATTTGACATTATTCGTTTTCTTGTATAGTCGGCAGATTAAGATCTCGCCAACCTCATACTTATCCGTTTTACCTAAACTCTTTCGGATTGCATTAGACACCGTTAAGCACCTCATATTCGTATAGGCTATGTTCTTCTGAGATGCTGTCATATCATCTGTCGTGTTAAAATACTTATGAACAAACTCGGACAAAGATAATTTATGAAGCCACATATCATCATACATCATATCTAATATTTTTCTGTTGGCTTCTGCTGTTGGGTCTCCTTGTGGTCCTAATCTCTTACATATGGTAAGCACAATATTATACTTGAAGATCTGATTAATACATTCATCTGCGTATTCATCCGGCTTCCTCGTATTGGTTAGGTCTTCAATCGGCGGTAGCTGTTTGACATCACCCGCTCCGATTATGATTTTATTCGGGGTTTTCTTAACACACTCTCTAATTCTATTTAGGATATGCGTTCCATTCATATAGATCTCGTCAAAGACTATACAATTGTAACTGCTATGATCAAACTGTGGCAATTTCTCCCCATCCCCAACAGGGATGGCAAAAAACCTATTGGTAGTTACTGCATCGTCGTCAATATTTTGAGATAAGCTGTTCTGGGGCACTACGAACAGAGTTTTATAGCCCAACTTGCTGAAATGCTTTGCTATATGTGACTTGCCACCACCTGCATACTTTGATCGGATCATCATAGGATTATTTGCTACGATATCTTTTGCTATGCTTTCCGCGTCCCACTCGTTTTCTATGGGTCGGGTCTCGTTGTTATATATGGGTATTGGGATCTTTCTTTTTTGGTGCCCACTGCTCTGTGGGTTCTGCTATGTTTTTACTTTTTTCGTGTCTCCACCCGCTGATACGATCTGAAAACTCTATTAGGTTCTTAGCACGTCTTAAATGCTCCTTCCGGATAACGAAGGCATCTGTTTTAACATTCCATACTCCTATATGATTTTCCATGAGCTTGGTGTAGTCGGTGTGCATTTTAAAGTTATGGTGTTGTAATAACAATTCTTTGATGTATATATATCCGTTTCGTAGGGTGGCTTTATCGGTCACTGTTAAGCAATAATATTTTTTGTCCATCTCCTTGTCAACTAAGTCTGTCTCGCGTTAGGTAACAATCTCATCAACATACATACCCGAAATTCTGTTAATTTTTCCTCCGATCTTGTTTTGATAATATAAGGCTTCCTTTAAAGTATCAAAGGCATAACTTTTATGGGCTTTATTCGTGCTCTTCTCAAGTAGCCCGAAGTTAACATTAGCCATTAGTTTCTTTATTCTGATGTCTTCGGCTGTTTTGTCAGATATGTCTGTCTTCCATAGTTCCGCTGTGATCTTCCTATAACCCACCTTGTATACTCTGGATGGTTGCTTATAATAAAGAAATTTACATTGCTTCACAAAGTGCTTTAGAAACATACCATATACTAAAGTGTAGGCTTTATTGAAAAATAAGCTCCGCTTGGTGGGCTTGACCAAGTAGAGAGTTAGATCGTGAAAATCAGTCACGTTACCATTGAACGGCTTCCAGATATCAAACTGCGTGAATACCGGTATCTCGGCGATCTTGTTAAACGCAGATGTGTAAGCTTTTCTTACATCTATCTCCGTAGTCACTTCTGGGGTATAAAAGTTTTTGTCGTCTTTGTCTGTCTTAGGGTTATATAAATAGGAATGTTTATTTATTTCACCCGTTGGGGGGATTGTGCGATACTCCTTAAAAATCTCTACATCTACTTCGTTATAATATGACTTGTGCACCGGCTTGAAGAGGGCGGTGTTAAAATTAAACATCGCTTTGGACATCTTGTTGTAGATCTGCTCCGTTCTCACGCAGATGGAACCATCTATAGAATTATTTACTAAGTTCTGGGTCTTAACCTTGTATTTAATCTCTTTGTGGCTCTTGTTGTTTATCTTGATCTTAAACTTGAAGTTAAGTTCAGACACACACCCCGCGCTGAACCTAACCTGTGGCTCATACCCTGCCTGTTTTCTAAGATAAAAGAGATGAGACAGATCGTAGCCATTATATACCAATGTATATTCGCTGCGCTCGGTATACTTCCGGATGTCGTCTAGGGATGTGATCATTTTACATTCCACTGGCTCCTCCTTCTCGTTAAGGTGATAATCTGAAGATGCCTTAACAGATATACTATAATTACTGCTTTTGGGTATCATCTGCCTCAACATATTCATATTATCACTGACTGTGTAGATATGACTGTTCTTCACTATAGCGTATAAGGCTGGGATATTATGATTTCTTTTTAGTGGGTCACGCTTATAAATCAGAGTATCAAAGACATCATAATTTCTGACTTGCAAGTTAAAATGGTCAAACACCTTAGCCATGTCTGTTATTGATGCCCCTTTTGCTTTAAAATCTTCTTCCGTCTTATTTATGATCTTTAGGATGGCTTCGTTTGTTAGTTTGTTCTTCTCTCTCTTCTTGTCTCCCATAAGGGTATCCTTATAATAATCGGTCAAGGTGTTAAACCAACACTCGTTCTTAACGTAATGTTCTACTTTAATGGCTTCCTTAAAGGTCTCATACTGTGGATCTAGTGGTGTCTGAATATATCTGTGATACATACTGACATTCTCCGTGTTTGTTAGTTCTTCGTCTTGTGGCTTGAAAGCATCTGCGTTATCTACCCTTTCGGCGTAATTAACTTCAATACAAGCAATGTAACCTTCGGCATAACCGACATCTGCTTTAAAACTGTCATCTGTCATTAATAACATCTTGAGCCTATGACATGTTTTTGTGTCGGTCTTCTCGTCTCTGAATATTCGTCTCCTCGTCAAGTTTTCTACCCACGGTGTTGTGGCTACATTGGCTGATAGATCACGCATATAAATCGGAACATACGCCCTACCCCTGCTGTCTCTGAAAGATACTGATAATCCTTGGTGTGATTCTGTCTTCAGTTGGTATAAATGGACATTGCTTGAGTATTTTCTTGGCTTTCTTGGGTTGGTTCTTCCTGTTCTTTTGTTGTCTTCTTTGGTCTGTGACATTCTCTGACCTAATTGTTCTTTATCCTTATGTTTGTCATAGATCTTGTCGTAGTCTTCTTCAGCTTTAGTTTTTTCTTCGTCTGTTTTTGCGGTGGTGAGTTTCCTGATTAAATGGTCTGCTGTGGTGAATTGGGCGATCTTACGATCTGAATATAAGCTAATTATATTTTGAACTTTTGTTCTGGTGGCTTGGTTGATGCGGTTTCTTCTGTTGTTATAAAATGTTTGTAGTGCTTCTGTATTACGCTTAATGGCTTTGGACATATTCTAATATAATTAAGCTATATACTATTAAATCTTTAAGTGAAATTTTCCAAAGATGTTGTTTTAAATTATCAAATGTTTTTTAATATATAGAAATATGTCTAAAGATAAAAAATCCTATATAGTATAGTATAATAAGAGTAAAACCCCCGAGGATATGACAATGGATGAAATCAAAGAGCAACTGGCCATATACAGCAGATTGTATTACAACAAGCGCAGAAATGATGAAAAGTATATGCAAAAGAAACGAGAATCTGCACTACGACACAATCAGAGAAAGAAGATCAAGGAGTATGAAGACGCCAACAATATCAGACTGAACCCCGATGAGTTGACAGAAGAATTGCTATCTGAAATAATGAATGCAAAAAAGCCTTTTAAAGCAAAGCGCGGCGCACCCAAATATGATATGAGCAAGTTCAAGATCATAAAGCCGATGGATGACGAATGATGATTTAATTTAGTTATTAAATCATTATTTTCTTTTGTTTTTTACATGAGTGAGACACAAAAAGTTATTAATGATGTGTATTTTGATCGCGCGGGGTTTGGTTCAAAAAGCCGGACTATAGAAGAAGCACGCGAGAAAGATAAAACCAGCACAATGTCTGATATTAACGAGTTTTTTAGGAAGAACGTTGATCAAAAGCGAAAGCCCGTCGGTTCAAACAGCTTTGTCGCCCCGCATTCAGCATATGAGTATCAGATGGATTTGTTTTTTATTAATGACTTGAAGGATCAAAAATTTAGAGTAGGGATGTTAATGATTGATATATTTGATAAGTTTATGCACGTCGTTGCTATCAAAGGTAAGAAAGAAAAGGATTTAGCGAGTGGGATGATTGAATGCTTAAACAAGATGGGAAAGAAACCCGAAATGATTTATACCGACGACGAGGGAGCAATGAACAAGGAGGCAATACAAAAGTATTTACAGGAACAGAGCATAGAACATCACAGGACTAGGGCACATCCAAATTTTAGCGAGAGAGCTATTAGGACGTTCAAAGATTTATTATATCGTCGTGTTGAAGCCGATCAGAAAAAGGGTAAGAACAATGATCAGTGGCCGGATTATATTTTTGAAATATTATTAACATACAATAATAAAATGAAGCATTCCGCAACTGGCTTCACCCCATAGGATGCCAGAAAACCGAGCAACGAATTAAAAGTTAAACTGCATTTAAATATGAATGCTAAACGAAATCGTGTATATCCTGATCTAGGTGTTGGTGATGAAGTTAAAATATTTAGGAAGAGGAAACCCAATGAAAAAGAACGTGTATCAAATTGGTCGCAAAATATTTATACCATAGAAAAAATTGATGAAAAACTGGGTCAAAAATATTATTATGTTGAAGGTAACAATAGAGCGTATTTACGCTTTGAGTTGTTAAAAGTTTAGTTTTTCTTTTGATGAAACTTTTTCTTAAGTAAACACTCAAAGAAATAACACCTATACATATTAACAGGGAAATGTTCAATCAGAAAGAACAGGATGAAATCATAAATGATTTCTTGGATGTTATCAAGGTTAGCGATTACATCAGGGAAAGTAGGGAAAAGCGGACTAAATGTAAATGACAGGATTGTAAGAAACATGAGCGTTATTGCACTTTATACGAATTGCCACTACCAGAAAATATTATTCATAATATCTATGGCTTTACTTATCGGTGTTGGAAATGCGAACAGACCATAAAAAAAGAGAAAGTATTAGAAGAACGACTTGAAGCCAATGATTTATGTTTGTATGATGTTGATAAGCTTATTTTAAGCTTGGAACGCATATTCCCGTTATATGATTCCGTCAAACACGTGATCACAAACATAACTATGAAGAGATACAACATGTTTAAGAAGTTATTTAATACAATGCTGGATTGTAGAGACAAAGAAGAAATGCAAGAATGGATACAATACAAAATGAAATATAATGTTAATGCTACAGCGTATGATTTTAACAAAATCGTTAGAACACTATTGAATAAACCTGAGTTTGATTTAATGGATTAAACAAGCACAACATTATTAATATTATAATGTTATGTTTGAAACCACCCTAAAACTTCAAAAAATCCGTCACGAATGTCTCGTGAGGCTCGTTCCTCGCGTCACCTACATTGTCGTATGTTTTTTTGTTTTTTTGTTATGTTTTATGTGTTCTTTGTTTCTTCGTGCTTCTGTCTGGGATTTGCCTATGTTTTGGTTACTGTTTTGCTTTTTTCGTATGGTTTCGGAGATTCCCTAACCCTTCCAGTTGAAATTTTTGGGCTTTACTTTTAGTGTCTATGTTGGTTTAAAAAGTTGTTGTTCAAAAGATGTGTTGTTTACCCCAATGCGCTGGTAGACCTAGTCGCGGATCTGGTGGTAGGGCTCTGTGCTGTAGACGGTGTAGAGAAACTCCTCGCGTTGGGCAAGGTGGTTTTTGGAGTAAGATTTTAGGGTTTAGGGTTAGGACTTCCCGATCTTGAAAGAAACCTCAACCCAGCCCAAAAGAAGAATCAACAGGAATGACGGAGAACACCAGCCACAAGCTTACGCACAAGCAAGCAACATAATCACAACAAGAATGAATGAAGCGAGTGGTGGTAGTAGATGTTTTATGCTACTCCGCAGAAACGGAAGGGCGAGAGATTAGAGTTATGTTTTCCGCTTTTTTTTTTTTTTGTGTGTGTGTGTGTGTGTTTTGGGCTTCGGGTTTAGAGTTGCGGATGTAGTCTTACAGGTGTCCGGATCAGGATGGATCCGTGGGGTCGAGAGTCACTACTTGCGGGTTGTGTGTTATTGGCAGCCCTCACGGCTCGAAGACGAGCAGACCCATTGACCCATCGAAATGGTCCAGAAGAGGCCGTCAGCAACGCCTGACAGCCGGCAGTTGTTTGAAATTCCATGGATGTTATGTCTTCCGACAGTGGCTTTGCTGTATGCACTGGTGCAGTTGCACTATTGGGGTGTGAACAACACAAATGATACGTTGTGCAAGAACATGAATGCATTGGCGGTATCCGCATTTTCGTTTGCAGTCCGCCGAAATCTGGATGAAGTCAAGCCGCAGCTGGAAGGTTTCAGCAAGAAGATTGCTGAGTGGTGGAGTGCATGCAAGTCATTCGTGCCTTCTTTCCTGGCACAGATGGAGCTGTGTGTTCAGATTGCAGACCCCACTACGAAAGCATGCGGTCGCGTGCCGATTAACTTGTCAGTGGTGCCCAGAGTTCTGTGCTTGCTTGGCGCAGGAATTACTTTGTTCTTTTTTCTGAGGAAGACAACTACATTGACAGAACGTCACAAAGTCGCAAGAACGATGATTGTGATATGTTGTGCTTTCTTCAACTTGACTTGGGCTGGGCTCGCCTTCGTTGACGACGTGGTGTGCATGGACATATCTGACTCAAGAGAAGCCCTTTGCCATTCAATTGTTTTGCTGCTTGCCTTGATGGGCTTTGCCTGTTTGCCGCAGCATCTTTGCGCATGGGAAGCATCACTCCCACATTGGGCGTGCTGGGTGAGTTTGTGGGCGCTTGGGATGATACTGTCGTTTTGGCATGCAGCCATCATAGTGCGGCACATGTCTTGGATGCATGTTAGGATGTCGTTTCTCTGTTGGTTTGTAGTTATTATAGTTGTACCACTTGGGCTATATGCGCTTGACAAGAGGGAGGATGAGGACTCGGCAATGCAACCACTCATTAAACCGGAGGCATTTGCAGAGCCGTGATTCATCCGTGAAAAGTCAACAGGCTGTAGTCAGTGTTGCCATCACGTTGGCAAGACGTTGGGGGTTCGGGTACGGGTTTCGGTTTTTGATTTGGATTTGGGCCGGGTGCTAGGTGGAGGGTTTCAGGTGCTCCTTTGATAGGGTGGGGTCTTGAGTTGAGATCTTGTGTGCGGGATTCCTACAGTGGTGGGTCTTGGGGTGGTGGTAGGCAGTTTTGTCTTAGGATGCCTAGGGTGGTGGGTCTTGGGTGGTGGGTCGGGTAGGATGGATCTGATGGTTGGTTTCAAGCATTCGGGTGGTGGGGTGGTGGGCGGGTGGTGCCAATATGTTCCCTGATGGTGACAATTACAACAACCCGCCGAGTCTCAGAAGTGGCCTTCACACCTGTGCCGGAAGCAGCTAGAAGCCCAACCGAACATCCTAAATGCCTAAACCCTAAACCCCTAAACCCGAAACCCTAAACCCTAAACCCCTAAACCCCTAAACCCCTAAACCCCTAAACCCCTAACCCCTAAACCCCTAAACCCCTAAACCCTAAACCCTAAACCAACACCCTGAATGCCTAAACCTCGAGAGGATGACGACATCAAGCCGCCGCAGCCTCTGGCGGAGGGAAGGAAGACGCAGCGACGCCGCTCGGTCGAGTGAGAAGCGACTCACCCAAGACTTCGAGGTCTCGGGGTCAGGGCTTAGAGCGCGAGGGCTGAAAAGTTTCTTGTTCTTCGGTCTTGAGTGTCGTTTTGTGCGGTTGTTGGGCTTCTATTCAATCAATTTTTCTTTGGGAGTGTTTCGGGCTTCAGGGTTTCGGGCACCTGGACCACATGCCTCGAATCCAAGCCACGTTGCAGGTGGGCTTCGAGCCCAAGCGTAGACAGAGCCCACAGGAGCGAGGGGCTCTATAAAGGTTGGGCAGGTTTGGGTTTAGGGTTTAGGGTTTAGGGTTTAGGTTTGGGTTTAGCGGTTTGGGGTTTGGGATTGTTTCGGTTTACGAGTTTCGGGTTTAGGGATCGGGATGTCCCCAAGGGTTGACATTAGAGAGCAACTGCTTGTCCTAGAACTGCCCGCTTGACTTCCATCACAAGTCTCACGGTTGTGTGTAGCTGTCCCTATGGTGCATGGCCTCGTAACGTAAATTTCGCGAGCAGGACAAATAGCAGAGGCATCGACCCTACAGCGCAGTGATCTTGAGGTTTAAGCCTTTCGGGTTTAAGATTGCCGTTCCTAGCTCCGAGTGGTCATGTGCGCAGACTCCTGAAAGGGTTGCAGCCCGGGCACGTAGCAAATCCAAGCTCGGAGCCGTGGTAAACTGCAAACGATAGGTGATCCGCGCTGGGAGGTTTGAAAGACAGTTTTTCTGTGTTAAGCTCCTGTTCCAAAGAAGAGGTTTCCCAAACCCTAACTATTATTACTATTATTATTAATATTGTTATTACTATTATTATTATTATGATTATTCTTATTATTATTATTAGACCCCGAATAACCTGAACCCTGAACTTCGAGCCCTAAGCCCTAAACCTAAGCCCCAAGCTCTAAACCCGAAACCTAAACTTCAGACCCCAAATTTTGAAAACAGAAACCCCTAGACGGCCCTAAACCACAACTAACCTATACCGTAAACACCGAAAAACCTTAAACTCTAAACCCAGAAAAACCCTAAACTCTAAACCCCAAACCCCAAACCCCAAACCCTAAACCCTAAACCCCAAACCCTAAACCCTAAACCCCAAACCCTCAACCCTAAACCCCAAACCCTAAACCCTAAACCCTAAACCCCAAACCCTCAACCCTAAACCCCATGAAGCCTTAAACCCTAAACCCCCCAGCAGAGGTACGTCACTCCAAATTGCCCAGGAGGAATGTGGGGAGGGCCTCCAGGGTTCCCTAAAGCTTCGGGTTTAGGGTTTGGGGTTTAGGGTTTGGGGTTTAGGGTTTGGGGTTTAGGGTTGAGGGTTTGGGGTTTAGGGTTTAGGGTTTGGGGTTTGGGGTTTGGGGTTTAGGGTTTAGGGTTTGGGGTTTAGGGTTTGGGGTTTAGGGTTTAGGGTTTGGGGTTTAGGGTCCTAACTTGGAGATTCGCTTTGGGATATGTCCTCAGGGCATCGGGTTTCTGAGGCATGTGTCTTGAATAAGTAATTGTATAGTATGCCGAAGAAGAGTACCCTAAACCCTAAACCCAAGTTCGCCTTGAGCCGATCGGAGGGCAGCATTTACAGGCTATGGGGTCGGCTTGGTATTTGGGGGTTTCGGGGTCTCGGTTTAGTGTTTGAGGGTTGAGTTTTGGTTTAGCAACTGAGGCTCGGGGGTTTCGAAGTTTAGAGCTTCATGCTTTGAGGGATTACGGGCTGAGGGTCTAGCGTGTCGGGGAACCCTCTCGAGATGCATGAACCTGCGAAATCGCTTCATTTCGCCGACTATCGAGAAACCTCCACCACAAGCTGCAACGTCTTTCATCATTCAGCTTGCGGTCCAGTCTCCAGCTGCTCGAAAGTTTCACAAATTAAAAGAACCGGAAACGTAAGGGCGAAACCAGTAAAACCTAAACCTTAGGCCTTAGATCATGATGTGTGGAAGCCTTCGGGCCCCAGTGGCGTAGGCGTCCAGGAGCTGGACACTGAGTTTAGGATTTAGGGCTTACCCTGGCCTGATTTCGGAGTTTGAGAACAGCAGACCGCGAGATGGAGTTTTCAATCGTATTCGCAGGATCTATACTATCGGTTCCCCAACGGAGTAGCTAATAAGGAACTTCCCAGTGTTTGAGAAGTCACCATTTCTTGGGACAATTCCAATCCATCTTGGGTGGTTGTCAATATTAGGGTCCCCTTTTGGGTCCTTATTCTAATACGGCACCAAAAAGGGACCCTAGCTTTGACAACTACCCCATCTTGGGTCTGGGCTGCTAACCCGAGCAAGAGCCGATACTTTCTTCACCGCAAACTCGCTGATTTGTCTCTGAAGGTTCATGAGTGCTTTAAAGTCGGGTCACGGGCATTGCCTTTGGGCTCAGAAGTAGCTATGGATAGAGTTTTGGCACTGTTCCTAAACCTCAACTAAACCTACCGTCCGGAACCCCAAACTGTTAAATGGAATGGCGGATCCCAAGATGCAAGCAACCTCCCGAACACGTCAAGCGAGCAGGTAGACCCCCTTGAGCTTGACAGCAAGCTAGCCGAGGTGCCGCATTTCAGGGTTTAGGGCTCTGTTTGGTTTTAGGGTAGAAGCCACTCTAGGATTTAGAGCTCAGACCTTGGAGTCTTTTAGGGGTTCGGGGCTTAGTGGGGTTGAAGGTTTGGGGGTTCAGTGGTGGAGGGTTTAAGCTTGAAGAGTCAGGGTTCCACCAAGTCAACGTTGGAAGTCGAAGAGGTCCACCGCGGCATACTACTGTCCTTGTAGAAGCATTTGTGGGTAGCTGCTTGTAGCTCGCAGTAGTCGTAGATTATGAGTTGGTATGAAGTACTATCAATAGCTGGTTGTTATTGGAAGCTAGTTGTCATCAGTTACGATTCCCTATGTTTCCTCGCTATGTACTAGCAGTTGCCGCCTTCAGAAATTGGGTATGGCTAGGTAGTACTAGGATTCGGCGGTTGCCTGACGACCTCTCAGGTTTCATCGGGCTCAATAATGTAGGAACCCACTGAAGGCACTCTTGGTGCTTCTTAGAGTCTTTGGGTTCCCAACATGCACCTTTCTATTTGGGATCTAGAACCCAGGATTTCTTGAGAACCCAGGATTGCTTTTTCAAGTTCCTGCTTTGGGACTGCAGGAGTTGGATCTTTGGGATCTAGAGCCCCAAGCCCTGAACCCCAAGTCCCGAAATTCCAACTGCTTCTTTGCATCTAGGGGTTTAGGGTTTAGGGTTTTAGGGTTTAGGTAGGGCGTCTAGGGGTCAGCCCAGCCATGGTTTGGGGTTTGGGGAGCAGCCGCGCCAAACTGGAATTGGGCAAGACTGCAAGTGATGACTCCTGCTGTACTGTTGCAGACAGACCCAGCTTTACACCCTAAGCCTCTCCTGAGCCCTGCAGAAGGATCCTTGAAGAGTGGAATTCGGGCGGTACTTTGTAGTGTAAATACATGGTGCGCAACCCTAGTCCGTAGCAAGTTAAACAGTCAAGCCGCAAAATGCGTAGCCGACGAGTCTCTCAACGAAGGAACCAAATTCAAGCATCGCAGCCGCTTTAGATGGAGGGTTCTGAGTTAGGGGACAATCCCTCACAAAGCCAGGACCACGGTTCACATAGACGGTAGAAGGACCATTCAGCAAGCACCACACCAACAGACCCAATGCCTAGACAAGGCCTAACCCCAAGACGCTGACCTAAGCGTTCAACCCTTTCCCAACTTGAAAATCCTAGGACTTTCCAAGCCCTAAGCACATCTAACCCCCAAGCTGTGGACCCCGCGACACCTGAACCCTAAACCCTAAACCCTAAACCCTATCCCGAAAGCCCCAAATAACCCTGAAACCGCTTTAGCCAAAAGAGCCGTCGACCTTGAAACCCTAAGGACTCTGGGGACTGAACCGAAACCCTGAATCCTTATATAGCCTAAACACACAACCCCTGACCGCAGACCCGAAACCCTAGGAACAAAGAGCTCCTTATATACCCGAAAATAGGGGTACCTTATTTTGGTGGTCCTTATAATAAGGATCCTATTATTTAGGGTAATATATTAGGGTCCCCCATTTTCGGAAACCCCCATATACCCGAAATCCTAAGCCCTAAACCTCCCTAAACCTGTTCCATCGTAGTTTGTCATTTGCAGAACACGTGTCTGCCTTACAGGAGCTGTGCGCAGAGGTGCTCCTCTTTTGTGATTTAGGGTTTAGGGTTTAGGGTTTAGGGCTTTGGGTTTAGGGTTCAGGGTTTAGGGTCTAGGGTTCAGGGTTTAGGGTTTAGGGTTTAGGGACCGACCCTGCAGAGGCTGTTTGAGTTCATGGGATCTGTTGGCTGTTATGGCTGCGGGGTTGGGTTCAAAGGCTCCCTCAGCTCTTGGGGTTTCGG